TAATTTGCAGTCCCACCAGCAGTGTAGAAGTGTTCCTGTCTCTCCACATCCTCGCCAACATTTGTTGTTTTGTATTTTTTTGATAGAGGCCAATCTCACCAGGGTTAGGTGATACCTCATTGTGGTTTTGATTTGCATTTCTCTAATGATTAGAGATGTTGAGCATTTTTTAATCTTTTTAATCTAATCTTTGAATTTAAATTTTAAAAATTTAATTTACATAAATACAAAATTAAAATTGACAAATCATTTGAGGAGTTTACGAGAGAATACAAAAATTGCTAACACTTTAAAAATTATAAAATAACATTCAAAATATCAGAGTCAATCGTATATGAAAACCTGCAGCAACAATTCCATCACATATGAAATGCTGAAATTTCAGTTTCTAATAAGAAAGAATCAGGATATGTCTTTTGGTAACAGTTTCAATATGAAAGGGAAAAAACACTTAAAGAAACAAACTAGGAAGCAACAGAAGCCAGTTTGTGTTTTATGGAGCTTTAACAAGTATTATTTAAAACTCACAACAACCCTATAAGGTGGACAGAGTAAATAATATCTCCTATTTTATAAATGAGGAAAGTGAAGTTCAATTAAGATTGGGAAACATAAAACCCTAAAGAAATATAAGTTATACTCAATTATATATTTTAGAGAAAAGAAATGGAAATGAGAGCTGGAACAGACAAGAAGAGAGACAGTGGCCAGAGGTCAATGTTGGTGAGATTTACAAGAAGCAGTGATATAATCCTTACAAAGAAATTAGCTCAAGATTTATTAGTAGGATAATATTTCCCAATTTTCCCAGATTAACCACTAGTTTTAAAAGTTAACTAAATTTTGGAAGGCGTTTTGGTATTCTTGTTTTTTCATATTTTCCAATGGAATAAATCACTGACTTTTTATTTCGTTAGATGGAGACCATCACATCTTATTTCACAGGGTTAAAGGGTCACCTTCATGGAAAGACATTCCATTCCAGTCCTATGACCTTTCTGAATATTGCTGCTAAAGATTCTTCAAAAACATATTGCACATTGCCACTACGGTATAAAAATAGAAGCATTTCTAAAATAGGTTCAAATCTAACCTATTAGTCAAATTTTCCAGAGTTACCTCCTTATATTATTTTAAATGTCTCGTTTTTAACAAAAAATTAAAGATATGCAAATAAGCAGGAAAGCATGACCCATACAAAGGAAAAAATATAATAAAAACTGCTTGAGGAAGTTTGGACTTCCTAGACATAGACTTTACATAAGATATTATAAGTATAATCGAAGAACTAAAGGCAATCATGTCTAAAGAACTAATGGGGGCTGGGTGTGGAGGCTCAGCCTGTAATCTCAGCACTTTGGCAGAATGAGGTGGGAGGATCGCTTGAGGCTGGGAGTTTGACACCTGCCTGGGGAACATAGCAAGACCTTGTCTCTACAAAAATAATTTTAAAAATTAAAAAAAAGAGCCAAAAGGAAGTATGAAAGCTATGTCTCAATATATAAAGAATAACAATAAGAAGACAGCAATTATAAATAAGAACCAAATAAAAATTCTGTGGTTGAAAACTATAATAATGGACATGCAAAACTCAATGGAGACACTCAACAGCAGATTCGAGCAGGCAGAAGAAAGAATCAACAAACCTGAAGTAGATCAATTGAGATTATCCAGTCTGAAGGGCAGAAACAAAAAAGAATTAAGAAAAATAAACTGATCCTCTATAGACCATCTGGTACACCATCAAACATAGCAACATATACATAAAGAGAGATATTTGGTACACCATCAAGCACACCAACATATGCATAAAGAAGGAGATAAGAGAGAGAAAAGGGCAGAAAAAAATATTTGAAGACATTATGGTCAAAACTTTCAAATGCGATGAGAAATGTTAATCCACACATCCAAAAAACTCAATGAACCCCAAGTACAATAAACTCAAAGACAGCCACACCTGAATGCATCAAAGACAAAGAGAG